GTTCCAACACGCACGCACGCGCGCGCGCGCACACACACACACACACACACACACACACTCACCTCTTAAAACTTGATAAACTTTGTATTTGTAAAGCAGCTCCTGACGAGTGTTTCTATTCTACAGGACGTTGTAGCCTTAAGAGGAAGAGCCAGTTACCCCTCTGAGCCCACGTCTTGTGGCTTTCCACGCCACAGCAGGGAGCCGTGGTTAGAGTAAGAGGGCTCTGTGACATAGAACCATGGAAAGAAGCCTCTTGACAAAGCTCGGTTCCCTCCAGAATTTAAATATCCAATATTTCACCCACGTTCCTTGCCAGCGAAAGTTTCTTTTGTTATTTAGTTCTCAAACTTACATTCAACTACCATCTTCCTAGTTACAGTCTGGCAGGCAGACAAGACTCTGAATTTAGCGCAGGAACAAAGGTTTTCTTTGGGAAAGGAAGCTGCCCCTGCCCCACCCTCATCTTTGGAACTTGTGGCTCCCCTCAGGGTCAAAGGGCACCTCCCATCCAGAAACTCAAAGACTCTCTCCAGACGCAGCTAAGAGGAACTAGTTCTCCATGGTCAGCCAGGTTTCCAGAGCTGACACACAAGGTGCAAGTGCAGCCAGCTCTGTTGCCTTCTGTAGAGAGAAATCCGAGGTCAAGTTTGAGCATTTCTTCACAACATGATCCAAGGCCAAGCACTGTTGCAAATGGCTCCACCCCTAACCCTTTTCTGACTCTACCTTTTTCTATCCACATCATTCTCCGTCCTTGGTGTCGCAACCCCTTGCAAAAAATCACTGTGTACCTTTGAATGCGTGTTCCGGTTTTGCTCTAGCCTCATACTAGCTGAGAACTGTGCCCAGGACCATTTAGATCCCACAAAGTTACCTATCACTGGTAAAGACACATTGCAGCGGTCAGCTGACCATGGCTTTTCATTATCTATTTGTTCCCCAAGCCAACGACTAAGATATAACCAGAAGAATAAGAAGGCAAGGGCTGGAGAGATGGCTCAGAGGGTAAGAGCACTGGCTGTTCTTCCAGAGGTCCAGAGTTCAATTCCCAGCAATCACATGGTGGCTCACAACCATCTGCAATGAGATCTGGTGCCTTCCTTGCCAGCAGTACATGGTATGCTTAACAAATAAATAAATAAATAAATAAATAAATCTTAAAAAAAAGAAGGCAACTGAAATAAAGCAAAGATACTTGAATCTATGTGTTGTTTCTGTTCGAGAGATAATAGTCATAATATATACAAATTAAAATGTATAAATTGATGTATTCTTAATTTAGAATGTATATAGAAATATTGAAAAGGAGCTTCAGAAAAATCAACCTATTAAGAAAGTCAATGCTACAGTGGCAAGGACTGGAGACAGCCTTAGAGCAGAGACCAGGCTGCAGATCCTCTAGCTGTAGCCTCCCAAGTAGCACATTTTGGTCAAATGATTTAATTTTCTGAGCATATTTGCTCATTCAGTGGTAAAGAAGGAATACACATAAAGTGCTATCAGCAGCTTTGGCATGTGCTAAGTACGCAGTAAAATCAGGTTTTAGACTTCCCCAAAGAGTCTGGTAGATGTTGCCTAAGCGGGCTGAGTCCCGCGTCATTTCTCAACCACTGTCACAGTGTGACTCTTCCTGATGCCAGGATCTAAGGTCAGAGAGGGGTTCCTGCTTCTGCTCTGTGCTTACTCGGCATTGGAGGGTTGTCTAAAAAGCCAGTGGTAATGCATGGTCCTCTTGATAGACAGAAGGGCCGTGGCTAAATCACACACCACTGACTCTGAAAGAAATTTACCCTCATTTCTCTGATTTCGTCATTGCTTCCCTATGCTGAAACTAGTCCAAATCTTTGAAACTTGTCATCATTTACAAACCTTTAAAGGATATGTCTTCTTCTCAGAGGGAAGAATGGCCCACCAAGTTTACACATAGCATCTTTGGCAGCTGACAGTATCCAGCCGCAGAGGGTTGCTTTGTGGATGAGGCAGATGGCTTCTACTTTAGGCTTTCCTTGGTCTCATTTCTCAGTTGGTTTTTTTTTTCCAAGCTTAGCTTTATTTTACAGATGACTAAGGTTCGAATAGTGAGGGAGAGGAACTATCCAAAAAGGATTGATACAGTATTTAAAATCTGCGAGGATTATGTGACGATTGAGGTCACATTTATTACAATGAAAAATTAGATCTGGTTTCAGCTTTGAACCTGAGAATATTAGCGCAATCTAAGCTGCTTAGGGTCAGGCTAGATAAGAAAGCATGCCAGTCATTTGGCAGATGTTTCCTGTGAATATCAAACCTCAGACCTTAGCATCATGGGCGGGTTTCATGTTGGAAAATGTAATCAGAAAGTATCATGATAAATTGCTCTTGTGTGCTGATTTTTACATTTGTTGGCGTGTACACTTACTGGTTTTGTTTTTTTTTTTTTCTGCATGAAAAGTTTTTGCACCCCGATAAACCTCTCTGCCAATGCAATAATCCAAATCAGACCAAATCAAACCGAATTAGAAAAAGCCCAGGTTTAATGGGTACCAATGCTCCCAGATGGCTTTCCAGCCTCCCAGAGAGGAGCCAGGAAAGGAAGACTGGAAAACCAAGTGTTTGTTCTCTGGAGTGCAATTTAAATACCCTGTGGGAGTGAACTTGAGCTGGGGATGGAGCTTCCACCCGGAACATTCCATACTCTTTGGATATATGGATGCCGGGGACTGTAGTGTGACCTTAACCCAAACACTGCATAAGTGGTTGGCTTAGCTTTGTGCTAGTGTGGAGAGAGATGGGCACGCTCCCGACACAGGGGTCTACAAGTGCATGCTTGGTTCCACATACTAAATTTCTTCTGTCTTCCTTCAAGAAGCTTCTAGTCACGTATCTAGTCAAACATAGAAAAATTCTCTTGTACATATTATTTTTTTCTTAATGACTTACAAGGAAGTTCAGTTCACCTTTGTCCCCTGACCTGGCATTCTTTCTAAAGCCCCTTAAAGCTCTGTAATTCCAATTGCTTAGGCTGCCCCAACAAAGTAACACAGATGAGAAGGCTTAACCCAGAAAACTGCATTTTTCCACAGGGCTGGGAACCCAGGATTAAGGCGCCATCCGTGGAGGCTTCTCTTCACGATGACGCAGTTGCGGCTCTCACCTCGGCTTAGTCATCTGGGGTGTGTGCACATGCCTCTGGCAGCTCTTTCTTTGCATGTTCTAGTCTACTTTACTGATGAGGACAAAAGTCAGATTGCATTTAGAGCCCTACCTAACGTCCTCTTTCTAACTTAACGTTTCAAAAAGGCTGTTTGTGAGTTCTGTCACACTCTGAGAAACTTGAGGGCTGGGATTTCAAGAGGATGCAGCCCCCCTCCTCCCCCAGGATCATTTTCATTCCACCACGGTCTTTATCAAACCTTACAAAAATGCATTTCTCTGGAAGTCAGTAAAAAAAAAAAATTAAAAGAGGAAAGAGAAAATGAATGGCTGTTGCTCAACTCTGGCTGGATTTCATTCTTTCCACACTTTCAATGTTACCTCTTTTGCAAAGCTCCACTTTTGGTGAGGGCTGTAGCACCGTCATACACTTGGCTTTGGCCTTGAGTCTGCACTTTCTCTCCTGCTTCTAGAACTCAGCTTAGGACTGTTCGCTACAAAAAACATTGTTTTGAGTTGCTCATTCTGTTTTACGTTGACTGCTCGCCGAGATGATGCATGCTTGTTTGCTTTTAAGAAGCTCCCAATCTTTTACCAGCTCACTTTCAGGCAGTTTCTGTCACAGTTGGTTTGAGTGGAAGAGCCAGAGTAGGAAGACAAGAACCAAATCAGCTGTGCTCATCTACAAAGCTGAAATCAATGAATGCTTGTGAGCCAGGGCATAATCAAAAATACATGAGCAAATCTGTTTGCCAAATAGATCACTGGTTGACAAGACTTAGACTTTGCTTAATTGATTCTCCCTTTTCATATGTCTCTGGAGAAAGTTCCCAAGCCTATTTTCCTGGAAAGTACTTTATATTGGATCCTTTAGCACAAATATTGGATAAGGATTATCCAAGCTTATCTGCATATTGAACTATCATCTAGAAATCTCCAAATGTTCTCTGACCATCAGAGGGAAAAGGACTGATTTGGGACATTGCTGAAGATACTAGAAAGGTCTTTAGAGAACAGAAAATGTGTCAGACGCTGTATATGTTAAGTTCATGTTTATGTCTAACAATCTCAACTTTAACATAACTTCTATTATAGGCAGAATCTGAATTCTGAGCACAATTATACATAATTTTGAATGTTAAAAAAATCCATCTGTTTGAAATAATCTGTTTTTATAGTTACCACAAAAATGTTTCCTCTTTGGTACTTATCACCTGTGGTGTTTTGAGTAAGAATGGATCCCAGAGGCACATATACTTAAATGCTTGGTTCCTATTGGTGGACAGTTTAGGAAGGCTTAGGAGTTGCATTTTTAATTGCTGTGAAGAGACACCATTAGTGTGGGTCCTTCTGTTTATGTGTTGCTTTTATTGGTTAATAAATAAAGAAACTCGCCATGACCACAGCAACTCTTATAAAGAAAGCATTTAATTGGGATGGCTTGTTTACAGTTTCAGAGGTCCAGTCCATTATCATCAAGGTGGGAGAGTGGTGGTAGCAAGCAGACGACCTGGTGCTGGAGTTAAGGATCCTACATTTTGACTCAGAGGCAACAGGAAGTCAATTGACTGTCAAACAGAAGGAAATGTGAAAAAAAAAAAGATACCTTAAAGCCCACCCCACACAATGGAACAGGACCTCTGTCAAGGCCACACCTCCTAATAGTGCCACTCCCTTTGGGGCCATTTTCTTTCAAACCACCCCAGAGGCATAGTCTTGTTCAAGGAGGCATGTCACTGAGGGTGGGCTTTGAGGTTTCAAAATCCCAACCCATGACCAGTCTTGTATATTTTCTAACTCCTGTCCTCAGAGCAGAAGAAAAACGTGCAGTTACTGCTCCAGTTCAATGTACCTACCTGCTGGCCGGGATGCTTCCTGCCAAGATGAAGTGAAACTGTAAACAAACTCCCAACTAATGCTTTTATCTATAAGCTACATTGGTCATGGTGTCTCTTCACAGCAATAAAACAGTAACTAAGACTGTATCAGCCATTCCTCATACAGTGACTGACATTGAGAACGTACAAAGAATTAAAATAATTAGTACCAAAAGGCAGATCTGCTGCTCAACAGTGACCTAGTAAAGCAGACACCTCTTACAAGGAGACACACAAGCGACCAATTGTGTAAAAACTTTAAAAGGTTTTATTAAATGCATTATTCTAGAATGCATACTTAGTTATGCCTTAACTATCATTTGACATGTAATTTATATAAAATTATGAATGGGGATCTCACATTCTTTACATATGGAATCACTAAAAGTCTTTTTTCTAAGACCTTTTTAAATTTTTGTCTTGTATTGCTGAGAATATAATATAGTTACATCATTTCTTCTTTCCCTTTCCACCTCCAAACTTTTCTACTTTCTTCTTTGCTCTTTTTTAAATTCATATGCTCTTTTTTCATTAATTATTGTTACATACATATATGTTTATACATATTTATTCATGTTTACAGGGTTGACAATTCAGTATTGGATAACTGTGGTGATGGCTATTCTTGGTTGTCAGTTTGACTACATCTGGAATTAACTAAAATCTATTGGCTGGCAACATCTACAAGGGATTTTGTTGTTGTTGTTGCTGTTGTTAATGAAATCATTTGAAGTGGGAAGACCCACTTATAATCCAGATCTTTCGGTGGGAAGGTAAACTCGTAATCTAGATCTTTAGAGGTGGGAAGATAAAACTTTAATCTGGACCACACTTTCTGCTAGCAGCCTATATCAAGGACTCAGAAAAAGAAAGTTTGTTCTATCCCTTTGCCTGTTTGCCCTCACTTTCACTAGTAAATGTGTTCCTTTGCTGGCATTTGAGTCTACTTCTTGAGGGTTCTGGTGTGCACTGAAGAGCAGCTGAGGCAACACCTGAGTATTGTGCAGCTCCCTAGAGACTAGTTCTCTCACTTTCAGCCATTCTTGGTTGGCTTTAGAGTCCACTTTTGTCTTAGTCTTTATGCAGAGTTGAGGCCAGTTTTCTTGGCACTTAGGCATTTCCACTGGTGGCATCTTTGTTCCAGTATGTTTAGGCAATCATAGCGAGCGTTTATAGATGTAGTGTCTGAGATTACCAGGCAATTCAGCCTTACAACAAACTCCTTCCTCTGGCTCATACAATCTTTCCACCCCCTCATCTACAATGTTCCCTGAGCCTTATGTGTGGTCGTTGTTTTGAAGAAGTGTCCATTGCGTTTGGGCTCCTCAAGCCTTCATTTAGATTGCTTGCCATTTTCTCGTAATGGTCCCCATCTGTTGCAAAGTGAAGTTTCCTTGATGGAAGATGAGGACTATACTTATTTGTGGGCAAAAGAACAAATATTTAAAATGCAGTTATGCATTCTACTAAAGTAGTAGTTGTAGATTTTCCTCAACGATCCCTGACTACACTAGCCCTGGCAGGAGCCTACATTTCCAGGTCCAGGCATAGTTTCTCTCTTGCTGATTGGGTCTTAAGTCCAAAAAGAAAGCTGTTGTTTACGGCTAAGGTATAGATGTCATTACTGCACTCTTAGGGTTACAGTGCCATGCTGGTCCTCACTGTGGCTCCTAGGTGTCATGGCTGCACAGGGCTATCTGTTGCTTCTCTCCTGGTATAAAACCTACTGATACCACGGAAGTTAGTCCTCATGAAGCAGGCCTTCAGGTTGGTTCAACCTCAGGGACTCCTGGGCCCTGAGTCAGATAATGATTTTAATGGCTTGAGATGTTCATACATGCATAAAATGTTCAACACCCTGAGTCACAAGGAAATGTAAATTAGAGCTGCTTTGAGATGCCATGTTACTCCAATGAGAATGGCTATCAGCAAGAAAGGAAGTACCAGCCAATACTAGGAAGGTTTGGGGGAAAGAGGAACTTTTGTTCACTACTGCTGAGAGAGGAAATTAGGTAATATAGGAAGTATGGTGATTTCTCAAAAATGTAAAACCAGATCTATCATAGGACCAGCTCCACTCTTACCACAGAGGCATATGAACACCCATGTTTATTGCTGTATTTTTGGCATGACGCCAGCCTAGATGGGTATTAACTAATGAATGGAAAATTTGAGGTATGTGTACGCTATGAAATTTGACTCTAAAATTATAAAATTGTAAAATTTCCAGGAAAGTGGATGGATCTGAGCTGGTGAAAAATTGGATGGAGGTGATGCTAACACAGACAGATTTTTTTTTTAAAAAAAAAAAAAACACTTTCTCCCTTATACTCAGATCCCTTTTAAAATTCTTTTCTTGAGACAAGGTCTTACTGTGCAGCTCTCTCTGGTTGTCCTAGAGCTTGATGTGTGTATTAGTCTGGCCCCAAACTCAAGGAGATAGGCATGCCTCTGCCTAGGAGTTCTGGGATTAAAGGAATACATCACCACACTACCTGGCCAGATCCTAACTTTTAAGGTTTGTATAAACATAAACAAGAGGTTGTTAGGGATATAGACTCTGAAATAGAGAGGAGAGAGCAAGACGGGACTCATAATTTCTGGGGGGTAATACCAAAAGAATGCACCTGACCTGAAAGCAGGTTGATTTGAGAGAAAAGCCATGGCAGGGAAAGGGGAGAAGAAAAGAAAAAAAAGCATACAGTTTTGTTTGTTTGAAATATGCCATAATAAAACTTAACATGTTTACATTGCTAACGTAACAACTATAAAGGATAAAAATATCATTGCCTATATTACTTTTTTCAGCTCACATACCTGTCAGCCGCTGACATCATAGACCTCTGCACATTTGCACTCATTTCCAACAGCACAGCTATGCTAGCCCATGCATACTCATGTTTATACTTCCACGGACACGTGTAGAATCTCAGAAAAGCCGAGACGCACTCCAATCTCACGACCTATTGTGAAACAGTTTGGTTTGTGCCCAGGTTTCTTACTGTCTTGAATTGTCCATCCTTTTTTTTTTTTTTTTGAGACAAGATCTCCCTAAGGTATCTAAGACGGCCTCAGACTCACATTCTTCCCGTCTCTCCAATGTTGGGATTGCAGGCATGTACCAGCTTGTGTTGGCCGTTCATTCATCTAAATTCACCACAGGTTGTTTTTTTTTTTTTCTTTTTTCTTCTTCATCCTTGCTAGTGTGAGTTCACTGACCTGAAAGAAAGATAACCAGGAGTCTGACCAAAGGCTTTTCCCACAAGCTATATGCAAATACATGAACAAGACTCACTGTATGAAAAGATTATGTCTATAAAATTTGAAAGACATCTCAAGTCAAGGCATTACTTTACAGTAGCTCAAGATATGCAAATATTGACGTGTAGCTCTGGGAAGAATATTCTATCAACAAGTCCATTCTCTGGAGTATAGCATGTAGATATTTTACGACCTAAACTTCTCTGCTGTGCCCCACGCTTCTGGGTCAGCAATACATCAAGGAAAACCATGATATTCATCTTGAGTTTGTGCAGTTGTCTACGTCCTTGCATTCATTAGGCAAGCTGATCCGAGCTAAAATCTCTAGTTAGTGAGAGTCCAGACTCCTCTGGCTTGGCTCTCTAAATTAAATCTTCCAAAGCCCTTTGTCTGGAACTTTTCTCTTGGCACACCGACTTCTTTTCCAGTGCTCTATTCTGCTCTCAAGCTGAGTAGGACCTGTCTGGTCCTGCCAAAGAGAAGCAGGCTACTCCCTCAAACCTTCAGTTCCCAAAGCGTCAACTCAGTAAATCACTAACCTGTCAGATTTACCTAACACTTCCTTTTTAAAAATATTTAAAATAAAGTTTCTATTGATGGAACCGAATGTTTTGTTCATTTTTATTTAAGTATATATATGCATATATATAATATATATTGGATGAATCTGTTATAATAAAGAACAATTATTTAAAAGACAATATGTTTACTTAGATTTGAATTTTATGCAATGTACTCATGCATCCAAACATTGCATAGTACCCCATAATTTGCACTATTTTATGCATATGTCAAAAGAAATAAATAAGAATAGGCCACAATTCAAAAGCAGATTAAAGTATTCATTGGTGGATAATTTTCAACAAATTGTACAGTCCTTAAATTTTTATTATAACACTCTCTCATTTAATCATCTGAGGAAAAAAATTCAAACTATTTTGCTTTTAAATCACACCCAAAAGCTTCTATATGTATACCAAATTATGATCCTAAAAATTAGGTTGCAAACGGTTCTGGAAAAGAATTAATAAAAAGTTAGATTATTCAATCTGTGGGAATCACAATGTGTGAGGTCTGACAGCGCCTGCTCCAGGAAGAGCACCGGCTTCCAACATGGAAGACCCTGCCTACCTTTTGTTCCCTCATGGAACAGAACAGAATCTCTTTGGATGAGGAGCTAAAGGGTGAGCTAAAGAGCTGGCTGTATATTTCTGCTGAAAACCCCACGCAGACCACGCTAGCAAGCAGTTCATGGTAACAGAACCTCCTCCACTTGGTCCCATCTGTTTAGTGGCACTGTGCCTACCTTCCAGATGGTGGGCTAGCTTCACAGGGACAAAGGCGCCAAAAGATGGCTTTAGAAGACATTGTTACTACCACCCCTTTGGGCATCCTGCCGTGGTAAGAACTCACAATTGTTGGTGACCCTGTCACATTGTACATAAATTTTACATTTTCAAGAAATAAGTGATTCCAAGTGCTTCCTGAGTTCTCTCAGTGGGGTGCCCGTCGGATTCTGAGCTTTTCAAATGCTGGCATACAATTTCAGATTATCAATGGATAAGAAAGGAAGGCTGAGAGGACCCAAGCAGTTGGAGTATCCAACACCCACAGCATGTGCTGGAAGACCACCCAGGACATCTGACTGTCAAATGAACAAGGTGAAGGTGGCATTGGCTGCGAAGCTAAAGTGCTCTCAATGCGGGGTGGGCAGGAGGGTGGCTCTGTTAAGGCAGGAAAGCTGGTCTCTAAGGTTAGGGCAACTGAGATGTAACTTGCTTGAGAGTCACCAAAATTACGTATGTTACTATGACATATAACCATGGCTCTCCCTTGAGAAACCCACACCCAGTGGGATGAGTGTGTCTTGTCTTTTCCCAGAGTACCTTTCTACTAACCTTCATGCATAAAGGTTTGGTAGATTTTCAATCTGGTAAAGTCCAGCTCTGCTTTATACTGGCTCGTCTTGTAATTCTTTTCTGAGATCAAGTCAGGATCCCAATTCACCTGCGTGAAGACCTGATGTTGCCGCACATGGAATAGAGCTGTGTGACTGGTCCACACTCACGGGTAATTTTACATTGGGATTCAACATTTTGTGTGTTTTAGGGGAAAGTTCAATTCTGAGAAATCATTGAAATTTTACTAAATTGCAATAGCTAGCTTTTCTTTCTAGATATCTTACTCTCATAATCCCCTTGATTGTCAAGAAAGTCCATTTTATTTCATTTTGAGTCCCTTTATTCCTGATTCCTTGGTGACATTGTTCTTGATCGTGAAAACGTATAAAATCTTATCATTATTGAATGCCAACTTAAGCATTTCAATATAATTTGTTTTCTTTTGTTAATTAATTCACTTTTACATGTCTGAGTGTTTTGCCTGCATGTATGTCTGTGTACCACATGTGTGCAGTATCTGTGGAGGCCAGAAGAGGGCATTGGATCCCCTAAGACTGGAGTTATAGGCAGTTGTAAACTGCCTTGTGGGTGCTGGGAATTGAATCCTAGTTCCCTAGAAGACCCCCCAGTACTCTTAAGCACCAAGCCATTTCTCCTGCCCTTTGATGTAATTTACAAAATAGCTAAACTTAAAATAGTGTTCCTGTAGTGCACTCAGAACATACATTTGCCCTTTTCTTTAAGTTATTCCAACTAAAATTATGTGACGTTTAGAAGAAATTTTTGATACTGTATTTTACATGTAAATAAATCTGTCCTCCATATGTTGGATGTAGTGTGTGAGAATGCACACATACACAGAGGGGAGAGAAACATGTATCATATACATGTATGTACAGTACATATATCTAGTCATACCTGTATATGTAAACATAATACCTGCTGGCTTGTACTTAGAGAACAATTCTAAGATCTAGGTTTTTTTTCATATTTATATGAATTTGATTATTCACACATTCTGTTGAGTCCTATTCTTGCATTAAGTAATATTTTCACCAAGTTCAACACTGGGGTAGACACTGAAGATAAAACTTTAAAATTAAAAGTAGACAGGAGCCTCCCACATGAACTTAAAGGAAAAGAGCTTGAAAACACACTATCTCCGTGTGTATGGACTGATCATCTAGACACCACGCATCTGATTTCCCCTGCTTCTTTTCTGCCACCCACATAATGCTGTCGCTACAAGCCTCTTTCATGTCACAGTCAAGCTTTATGCCTGCACCTCTGCATCATGACTTTGCGACACAAATGACACCATGGACAGCAAGGGTTCAGAGAAGCCCTTTCAACATGGAGATGCCTGTCAATCACTTGATTATTCATGCACAGAATAGTAAATCACATAAGTGCATTTCCTTAAGAGCAGAGTCGATTATCTCAGCATAGAGCTGCGCTTCAGAGCATCGGGAGCAGATCCCTGGAAGGACACTGGTCCTCCTGTGAGGATGTGGCTCGGGGGAGGCTGCTGCACAATCTCTGATAGACAGGTAAAGAGACATCTCACATTAGCCTTGGGGACACAGAAGAGCTGCTTTGGACCTGTGCATGTCCATCTAAAAGCACACCACTGTAAGCACCAAGCCAAGAGTTTTGCTCCTTTCCCCTCAGAGGGCGTCTTCACTTTAATAGTGGTGACGTTAGACGTGGGGTACTACCTGCTCTCTGAAGCAAGTCTGTCTTAGTATTTAAGTTACAGACAGGTGACAGCTGGGATAAAGTCCTGGTTCCTGTGATGTTCCTACAGGACTGAGCTTGTCTCCCCCTACTTATCATCATCACTGGCTGGTCCTTATGGTCAGTTCCATAGGCATCCGATGGCTTTCTGGGAGTACCCTTGCAATGCATATTTTAACTTGGGGTTCCCTGAATAGAGTGAGAAGAAGGTTTGTTTGTGATATGCTGGTTTGAAGGAAGAGACATTTCTGCAAGTGACAAGCGCTGGTAAGGATAATATTTGTGTCTTAGGGCTTCTATCACTCTGAAGAGATCATGGCATCTCTTATAAAGAATATCATTTCATTGGGGTGGCTTACATTTTCAGAGGTTTAGTCCATTATCATCATGGCGGGACACGGAAGTATGCAGATAGACATGGTGCTGGAGAAGGAGCTAGAGTCCTACATCTTGATCCATATTAACAGGAAGTGAGCTGAGATGTTGGGCATGGCTTGAGCATATATGAGACCTCAAAGCCTGCCTCCACAGTGACACACTTCATCCAATAAAGCCATACCTACTCCAACAAAGGCACACCTCTCACTACTGTTATTCCCTACGAGATTTTGTGAGGGTCAATTACATTCAAACTACCACATTTTCTAAGGGCCATTAGTAAATGATCCCTTGATGTTTTCTTTTTGCAGTGAGAAAGGCAATATCTTGTCAGTTTAGAGCACATCCTGCATTGTTTGGAAATATCTACATTATGAATGAGCACCATGTGAATTCCCACAAGTACCCACACAGCACTGTGCTGGAGATGTCGTAGGGCAGAAGGCAACACACACACACACACACACACACACACACACACACACACACACACACACACACACTGTGTAGGCTCAAGGAGGCTTTGTGAGGCCCACGGGCTGGATTGGTCAAACCAGGTACCGAACTGCAGTAATGGCTGAAGGAAAGTGTGAGTCAATGAAGATAGAAATAACACACAAATGCCATTTTCATTTTTGGAAAAGCAATGCTCAAAACAGACCAATTTTTCAATATTAAAAAGCAGTTACTATTTAGGCATGCTTCTATGTAAATAAATGTCACACTTTCAGAATATCTCTAATTCATCAAAACTGATGTCATAGAAATTAAATATTTCTTCCCATACCTGTGTGATGAAGTAATGTATTATGTCTTCTGCTCCCAAGTCAGGCAACAAAAGCCTCACTGAATGGGAATATCTAACTCCTTACACTATCACCTAAAATAAAATAATAACAAGGGACCAAATAAGGCTCAAGAGAAAAAGTGTAACTTGAGTCA